TAAGGAGGCAGAAATCAGCCTTACAAAGTTTATTCCTGCGTGCTCCTAGTCAATACAGAAAGCCCACTTCTCAACCAGAATATATAAAGTTTTTTTATAAGACAAGGTCAAACTTTCCCATCTGCTCCTTTTTGGTAAGAGGCCTGAAAGACCACCATCTACTAACATTTCTCATCCTTCTAACAATACATGGCAGGTTCGTAGGCAGATGGCAAAAAGGTTAGTAAATGGTATGGTCCAATAGAAACCCGAATCAAACGGTCTCCCTTCTAGAGCTCACATGGTTTTCTGTAACTGAAAAGTTTAAAGAACCAGAGGAACCATAAGCTCAAGAATCCAGGCTTGTGGGTTGCTCCTCATATAGAAAACAAAAAACAAAAAACAAAAACAAAACACCTTTCTTCATTTAGCATCTAGCTAAAGCAGAGATCTTAAGATTGGATATAAACCTGAAAAGCCATTCCATTCCATCTTCCAAGTCTGCCTGGAACAGCCTGGCAAGTGATCAGGAAATTAAGTTAATCAACTATCCCTGCCACAAAAACACATATCTGCTGCTGCTATCACTACTTCTATCAATTGAAGGGAAGGGTAAAATGTACTCTTGGGTGTATAACTGAGCAGGAGCACCAGTAAAACTAACCTCTTTTTTGAGGGGCTGTTTTTGAGAAACCTTCAAGGTCCATTTTTAAACCCAAGTTTAGGAATTTTCAGCATCATCTCTGACAAATGCAAAAAATGGGCTAAGATGGTTTATTGAGAAATTTACTCATAATATGTACTTACATCTCTGATGCTACATCTCCTGAGAGCCAGCATGGCATAGTGATTTGAATGTTGGACTGACTCTGGAGACCAGGGTTCAATTCCCCACTCAGCCATGAATCCCACTTGGGCAAGTTACATGCTTTCAGCCTCGGGGAAGGCAATGGCAAACCTCTTCTGAACAAATTGTGCTAAGAAAACCCGATAGGTTCACCTTAGGATCATCATAGGTCAATAACTTGAAGGCACACAACAATCACAACATCCACAAAGCTTCAACTCCTCCTAACCCACTTTGTAAATAGTGTAGACCCCCCCTCCTCAACACAGTGAATTCACAAGATCAGTGGGGGTGTTTCCATTTATTTCCCTTTAGCTGGTCATACTGTGACAGACATCAGCAGGAATCTCCAAGGTCCCTGGGACATCTCTGTAGATGATATCCTTGCAGTGCATCTAGCTAAAGCAATGAGAGAAAAATGCATGGGCCACTCAGGGCTATTTTTGTGGCCCCCAGGGGTCCATTTTGCTCCTAAGTACCTTATAGGAGTGTGTGTGGCATTTCCCCCCACCCACCCCAATTCAATGCCCAGGATAGACCTTTATTGAAACAGGAGGTGGAGAGAAAAATGAATCCTTCCAACCGTCTATGTAGTCTTTTGCAGACATATATCCAAATGTGTGGCTAACCTTAACCAAAAAAAAAAAAAAAAAAAGGAAGGCAGAGATTTAAAAACCTTTATATTTTCCTTCATGGCTGTTGCATAAGAGCTACGAAAGAGGATTAACTAGCCTCCAGATTAGCTAGCTTAAGACATAATTATGGATTTTTGAAATTAGCTTAATATTTATTTATTTTTGTTCTATGTTTGAAGCTTAAGTGGATGAAATTAAAGAATGGATTGACAAAAGACAGTTTCTCATTTGGGAGTAAAGTCTCTGTCTATGCATATGCCAGGTGTCTTCTTGTTTCACAATCCTGCTTTGTCTCAGTAACTATTACTTAGCTGGTCTGTAAATGGTTATGATTGCTCTAACAGCTCTGAGACAACTGGTAGATAAGGAAGGGAAGATTAGCAAGGTGACCAAACAGCCTCCTTTTCCAGGCCATGTCCCGCATTTCCACCTTCTATCCAGGAGGAATTCAAAATGTATTCCATTTTAAGCATGATGAAGCCCATTAAGTAGCTCCACGTTTGCTGTTCCCCTTTGAGAAATGTGTCAACTTGGCAGCCTATCTTCACTGCAAATAGGGTGGTAGGATGCATCTTTCTAAAGTTATTTTTTTCCTAGGAGGACCAGCAGATGAGACCTATTCCCAGAGCTCAGGGACTTTTCTTAGAGGGGAAAAGGACAGCAAACATGTTAGGCAATGGACTGCTTGAGGATACAATGCAAATGTTGAAAGGGCTTTCCCCTTCATTTCAGCACAATGGACAAAAGAAAGGAATAATTTAAAGGTAGATTCAGGAGCTTATCACATGGGGTAAAAAGGGTGACTTACCTCTTCCGGCTTGAATCTTCTCCAGGGATACATCTGGGTGTTATCATATGTAAGTCGTCACAGATTCTGCCGGTCAAATATAGCCTGGATAAGACGTGGGTCCAAGCTGTGTTCAGCTGGCCAATTTTCAAAGTCGGAAGCTTCCGTTTTTGAAAAACAGCCAGCTGAGTGTAGCTTGGGAGCTGCGGTTTACCCGGGCTGGATTTGGCAGTGATTTACATATGATATTACCTGGTTGCATACCGGAAGACGATTCAAGCTGGAAGAGGCAAGTTGCCTTTTTAAACCTGTGTGATAAGCTCCTTAGTCATAGGTTTCTTGCTAGTAAAGTACAGTTTTAAGCATTTGTCTTGCTCAGAGTTGTACAAGTATATTGCAAACCAAAAAGGCATTTTAATGAAGATAAGCTCATCAGAAAAATATGGCTGAGTATATAATAAAACACAGTATATGTAATATAGCTATGAATAAACCATATGAAATGAATAGATATTATTATTAGCTTTTATTTAGTAATGTCCCACATTTTTTCTTGACTGCCCTACATTTTGCAGTGTCTTGTCCTCCTTTGCAGTTATGACAGCTGATTACACTGAAGAAGAGACACCAGAAACAAGTTAAATTGGTGGGAGGGAAGCCCTACAGGCATGAAAATCTATGGGAGAAACTTGCAGTCTGGGCAGCTATATGTGACCTCAGCTCCAGTGGACCGTTTGGGCTCATCCCACAGATTGGCTGATATGGCAACTCCTGCCAGATGTTTACCAGACATCCATGGCTTGATGTCCTGCTTGTACATTTGCTGAGCTGCAAACCATCAGACCCCGTGTCCCATCTATTTTACTGTGACAATACCAGTTATGTACTCAGCTGATTTATAATTGTGGCTTGTGTACTAAAGTTGCAACAATCACATTTAACCCACAATGCAATGTCCAACCTCTCTTCTCAGAGCAAGTCACTTCCAAGGATGGTTTACCTCCACCCACTTGTCCTTCCTCTACTTTTTCTTATTCAGGTGGGTCTTTGAGAATTGACTGGTTGCCAAGGAAGAAGCTTTTAATAGGGGGCATTGTAATTCCCTTCTGAGTTTGTTTTTAATGTGGCTGTTTTAAAAATATCATCATTTATTTAATTGTGTTTCCCCTATGACAATTTTTATAATTTATATGGTTAATGGTGTCAACTGCTTTGGGTCCCAGTTTTTAGAGAAAGAAGGGAGACAATTCTAATCAAAGCAATCTTTCAATAATAGTGACCTTCCTCCATTGCACTGTGGGTGATGACGGCTTTTCATCAACATAAGAATGGCTACTGCAGTTGCTTTTTTACATTGGTTTTAGAAAACAATAATGACAAATTTAGAAATAAAATTTTGGGGCTTTTAGAAAGATAAGGTCCAGCCTTTAAAGTTGTCCCTGAAAGACCTTGGAAGTTCTTTCTGCTCTCTTTTCACCTCACACAGTACAAATCAATGGAAAAAGTTCTTCTGAGAACTTTGAACACAGACCTAGTTATTATGCTGATCTACTTTTTCACCAAATTATTTTATAGGTCAAACATTTAACACACTTTCACAGCAGTGTCTGTGAATCAGTATTTGCCAGTGAAGAGCATCTGTACTTCACAGTTCACTGAGATTTAGAATTTTCTTGTTTTTATATGCCTTCAAGTTGTTTTCATATTACGGTGATCCTATCATGGGGTTTTCATAGCAAGATTAGTTCAGAGGGGGCTTGCCACTGCCTTCCTCTGTAGATGAGAGAGTATGATCTGCCCAAGGTCACCCAGTGAGTTTCTATGGCCAAACAGGAATTCAAACCCTGGTCTCCCAGAGTCCTAGTACAACACACAAACACTACACTACACTGGCTCTCTACTAGTATTTTCTACTGAGATGAAAAAGTTTCAATAATCAATATATTTTAACTATCTGTGTTAGAAATGTAGAAAAATAGATGCCAAGTGGCCACATACAGAGGATTCTGGGAGTTGAGGCCTCTGAGAAGGAATGAAATATTGGAAGTTTTAACACTAGGAATGTTTAGGAGACAGATTGCCCTTTTGAAGGACCTGCTGCATTAAGGTGCCAGAGTGGTGTATAGCAGCCACAATAAATCACTGATAGGAGATGCAGGCACTCTGTGCAAAGGGGCCCATGGTACCATCTTCTGTTGCTAAGGAGCATTGGTATGTGGCCAGATGTACCTTAAGTATATTATAATGTATTCTGAAATCTTTACTCTTATTGCTTGAGATTCTATATGTTTAAGGTATGAAGTATCCAATACGATGCAAGAATTGGATTTCTTTGTTTGGAAGTGTATAAATGAAGCCATTTTCTTCTGTTTGGGGCTCAAAACTCTGGAATGCTAATGCCTTTTGGGACTAATAAACCTGTGTTTACAACTGACTTCGGTCCCCTCCCTTTCTTCTGCTCTGCAAGTAACCTAAGATGCTGAGGGCTAGTAGCCCACAGACAGTTTATTTCCATTACACTACCAGCTGATTAAGTTGTACAAGTGGGTGATATCAGCAGATTTCAGAGAATCCCAGTGTTTGCAGGGTTGTTTTTTTCATTCTGTGCCTTTAAGTCATTTCCAGATTATGGTGACCCTAAGGTGAAACTATCATGTGCTTTTTTGGAAAGTTTCTTCAGATGGGATTTACCATTGCCATCCTCTGAGGCTGAGAAAGTGTGATGTGCTCAAGGTCGCCCAGTGGGTTTACATGGCCGAAACGGGAATCAAACCCTGGTCTCTGGAATCATAGTCCAACACTCACACCACTACACTATGTCACCCCCAAAAAATCACAACAGAATTCTAAGGGGGGAGACCACAGATTGCCTGATAAGTGAGCATCAGATGTTGACTGAATCTTGGAGCTGGGAGGAGTGAAAAACATGGAGTGAGGCTGAACTGCAGCAGAACCTGGAAGCAACTCAATAACTAAATAAATGGTAGAATTCAAAGATATAGCCATGTTCTGTCTGTGGAATCAGTACACAGAGAAATCTTGTAGCACCTTTGAGACTAACTGAAAGAAAGAAGTTGGCAGCATCTAGATCCAAATGCATCTGAGGAAGTAGACTAAAGTCTATGAAAGCTCATGCTGCCAACATCTTTCTTTCATTAGTCTCAAAGGTGCTACAAGATCTCTCTACATAAATAAATGGTGGCAGGTAAAAACATTCTTGTGCCATCAGGCTTTTTCAAGCCAATGAGGGGTGGGCTTTTAAATGCTTGCAAATCAGATATCAAGCTATGTATATCATTTCTAATACATTTCAATATTTTCAACATGCAATGTTTTAAACTTTTTAAATAGTTTGTTTTTTAGACTTTACATTTACACTTTATAGTGATTTTGCATTGTTTTGGCTTGTACTGTTTTAAATTTGTTGGTAGCAGCCTTGAGTTCCTATATTGGGAGAAAGGCAGGACATAAGTAAAATAGCAACAATAGCAACAACTAATTATTTCAATTGATTCATTTATCTGGTAACAAGATAGCATTAAATTACACTGCATCTGTTAACTTTGAGAGGGATAATTTCAGTCATTTTATAGCTTAGGGTTTTTTTGTTGTTCCTTTTTTAGTTAGGTGGATGTAACCTCACTAAATGGTGGAGGAGGAATATCACATGGTTCATGTACTGGTTTGTGCTGTGCTTTATGCTCTGTTGTGAGTACTTAGGCAACAGCCAGGTGTAGGGGGACAGAATGTATTTCATGCCACAGGCCAACAGCTTGTAACATTCTGATTATTCAAAAAAAGAAGTAACCGGAAAGTTATTGTTATAGATACAGCTGAGAAGGATGAAAGTAGCATGTTGTTGTTGTTTTTAAATGCGTAACAATAATGACAGCTAACTACTTTGGGAGTCTTTGAGCCATAACTGCACCTTATTAATAAAATATAATAATAACAATTCATTATTTTTTTAAAATTGTATCTGCATTTTAATGCTTTTGTAGTGTTTTTAACTTGTATTGTTTTAAATTTGTTGCTAGCCACCTTGAGACCCTATATCAGGAGAAAGGTGGGATATAAATAAAATAAATACTAAATAATAAATAAATAATATAATAACAATTACCCTTAAAAGCATTTTAAAAGTAAAATAAGTTACTTTTAAGAGCATTACAAAACAATGCAAAGCTTTGGATTACAATGTTTAGAATCCAGAACAGCTGCACTCCAAACTGCAACATTTCACTGTAGGTCTCATGGACTGATTCTTGCTTGTGATTAGATTCTTAAAAACCACAATGGAATGATTTTAACAGTAGGGTGGCAGAACAATTTTGGAAATGAATCATAATAAACCTTAGCAACTGCAGGCACTCTGTGATCTACCCCAAACTGACCACCCATGGAAAAACAGTCCCTAAATTGCATTTTCAAAGGCATCCACTGCCTGCTATCCAGGAATACATGACCAGACCACAGCTGAGAGATGCCCATCCAACCTCTGTTTAAAGACTTAAAAAAGAAGAATCCACCAACCCATGCCCCAAGGCAGTCTATTCAACTGTTAAGCAGCTCCTAATGTCCAAAAGTTCTTTTGAATGTTTACAAAATGATTGAGGAAGCTGGGTATATCCAGCCAAGAGAAGAGAAGATTGAGAAGAGATACGATACAAGGTATTGCATAGTGCAAGATGGCAGGCTTTCCCCTATTGCAAGATGGTGGGGTCTCCCCTATTTTTCACCAAGGGTTGGATGACAGTCCTTGGTAGATGCTTTAGCTGTGAATTCTTGCATGGACTGCACTGCAGTCAGTCAAACTAGATGGCCCTTGGGTTCCTTTAAAATTCTAATGTATCATTCCATGATGACTATCCAATGGCAAATGAATACGCTGCCTTGGAGTGTGATGGAGTCTCCTTTGAAAGTTTTTAAACAGAGCCTGGATGGCCATCTGTCATGGGTGCTTTATTTGTGTATTCCTGCATGGCAGGGGGTTGGACTGGATGGCCCTTGTGGTCTCTTCCAACTCTATAATTCTATGATTCTATGAACTACTTTTAAGCAGCCGCCTACTAGAGAGAAGCTAAAGATTTCACACACACACACCCCGACTATCTCTTGTAAATTGTGTTGAGTCAACTAAACAGAAATAGGCTTGTACGTCTTTGTGCTGCAAGCAAGGATATCCTGGCAGACATCCAAAGAAAGTTAAACACTTAAAAAAACCTCCAAACAACTCATTGAAATAGATTCCATTGGGATGAAAGCATACCACCTGGATTGCATCCAAGATGCACATGAGAAACTTCCAGTGTGCTATTCATGCAGATACATACACACTTAGACATTGTTCCTACCACTAAATCCTGCAAGAGTCCAATTGGAAAACAGAGAAAACAGAGGTACAGTGCACCTGCGCCATATGTGGGCTTGCTATATGCAGACTCAAGGTCACACGGATAGCAAGCCCTGGAAGAGTGAATGGGTTGCACATCTCCACCAGATGTACTGCACTACGCATGGGTGCGTGTGGCCATTAAAACAAACAGGACTTTTGCCATACGCGGGGTGGGTGGGTTGCCTTACACGGGTGGGGTTTCCAGAATGGATCTGCTGCATCTAGGAAGGCCCCACTGTACTGAACATAGGATTAACCCAGTTTAATATAATTCTCTTTCTTAAAGGACTGGTCCAATATATTTTGCAAACTGAAACAAAGGTCAAATTGCTCATCCTTATCCCATTCAAGATATAGAAGCTGACTGTAGTGCCAGCTGAATATTGACAATGGAAGAATATCTTCCATTATACCTGAGAGCACGAAGCCCATTTAGGGGGGAATAGGACAGGCAATGCGACAGACATAGCTTTGGCTTACGAAATGGGGAAATGGCCAGGAGCTGAGGAAGAATGGGTGTCAGGTTACCACTGCCACTGCCACACACTGTTGAATGTTGAATCTGCCACCAGAGGCAGTTGCACCATTCTGAGTAATGGACAGTCTGGCTCTGTCCAAAGACATCCTGGAAACCGTCAAAGAATCATAGAACTAGAAGGGATTGGAAGAACTGGAAACTATCAAAAAATCATAGAACTGGAAGGGATTCCAACTCTCTGCCATGCAAGAACACTCCCAAAAATGCCCTCCAAAGAACAAGAGACCATCACCTTCTAGGAATGTCTGTTCCACTGTTGGACAACTCCTGTGATCAATATATTCTTCCTAATAACATTTAGGTGGAATTGCTCTCTCTCTCTCTTTTAATTTAAGGAAGAGAGCAATTAAGGTTCATTATATAAAGGAACAGTTCAGGCTCTTCTTTTAGGATTCCTCCTAACCCATAATTCACAAGATTCTGAGGGAGATGCTTCATCAGTTTTAACTTGTATGAGTAGTACAAGTTTGCAATTAAGCAAGGGAACCTCTTTCATCCTGAAGGCAAAATTCAGTTTCAGATCAGTTCTCAGGGGTAGAATAATAGATTTGGAAGGAACTGAAAGGGTCAGTTCCACCCCCAGCCTGGAAGAATACACAACTAAAGCACTCCCAAAAGATGGCCACCCAACTTCCATTCAAAGACCTTCAAAGTTGGAGGGTCCACCGCCTTCTGGAGCAGTCTATTCTCCTAAATGCTCCAGGAGTAGTGCGGCCAAAGGTAAAAGTAGAACCAAACATTCTAGCATATTTTAGTTTAAAGTTTATACTGCCAGTAATTAAAGACAGGCGTACATTGGCCAGAATACACCAGGCTGCTTCTAGAGTATTTTGGTCTCAGATATCTGACTGCTCCCCCTGTTACCTGAGCATTTTGGAGTGATGCTGATGGGTGTCTACACATGTGTCACACCATTACTGGCACAAGTCACTACCTCTCAAGTTGAAAACAAGGCATCTAGCATCAATTACATGGCTGGGAACCTTGTGATCTCAGAGAGGTTCCACTGTGCGGTGGGTGGTGCAGTGGGATGCTTTGTAAATGGAAGCCTGGCATTGCTGTAGAGTGTTTCAGATTTTCCTAGAATATTCAGAGCAAATGGTTGAGTTCTTAAAAACCAGATTAAGGCAGGGATAGCCCAATTGTTGGGTAAAATGTTCCCTTAAAAAGTGGTAAAATAATTTATATGTAAATGTTACGAAACACTAGGTGTCAACCCCAATGATATCACCACTGTATATATGGACTCTGGAACCCAGGACAGGTGTGGGTTGAAGATAGGAGTTGGTGTGGTGGAGAGTTTGTAGAGTGTGTTTGTTGGAGAAGTGGATTGTAGCAGACAGTGTATGTTGACAGAAGTCAGAGCTTCTGTTTTAAATATTTTGTATACATTCTGCAACAGGAAAATAAAAGCCTCCAAGGACTTTGGAAGAAGTCAATTGTGTCTGGGCCTTATTTCAGGTCGGTCAGTGCCTTATTGCTAAATACTATATACTGGGTTGTGCTTCCACACTCTGCTGTGAGCTATTGTTAAGGTCAAGCACCTCAGACGGTGCTGAACATTGGCACCTCTGTTTGGGCCTAGTTTTTGTTTGTTTTTGTCACTGCACACCTGCAGGAAACAAAGGAGAGCCAACACAGATCTGGTGTGGAACTGGTGTTCCCATGTGAAGGCTATGCTCAGATGCTATACATCAGGGGTAGGCAACCTTTCCCCTTTAAGGGCCGAGG